AAGATCTATTAACGAGTTGAAAAACGACCTCATAGGAACTGGTTTACTCACGTCAGTTGTTTACAGAGATCATCACATGCACCACTGTACAACCAGGTGCTTTGCAGTACTAGCACTAATTTTCCAATTAGGGATTGCCTTAAGGGCTACTTAAATTGTTTGCTGAGCCAAATCTAAAACCTGAAATATCTGTATTTTTGGCTTGTGTTGATTTGCTCCGATGTTAGAATGTTATCAATATTCATATTTTTCAAGTATCTAAACCAGAGGTGTAAAACTCACTTGGACCTGTGAACCAGGTAAGTGCTGGGGAGCTGGTCTGCAGGCTGGATCAGCCTTGCCATTTATGGACAGCCATATATGTAGCATGGTCCCCATGCCAGCCCCTGGTCTATGTGTAGCATGTGCCAGCCCTGGTCAGGGACTTGCACTGCAGGTGGTATGCGGGTGCTGCATGTGGCCTAGGGGGCTGGTCTGGATTGAACTGTGCCAGAGCCATCACACAGGGCTGGTCCAGTGGGGCACAGTATGTGCCCTGTATTGACTTTGTGCGCTCCCTGCAATGCAAGACCTGGACAGGGCATGTGTATGCTGCAGGAGGTATGCAGGGCTGAACTGGCTACACATGCTGTCCACAGCACAGGGGGTGCACACAGCACATGGCACCCCACTAGGCTAGCCCTGCACACTGGCTTCAGCATAGCCTGATCTGAACCAGCCCAGAAGCAAATGCTCTGGGAATGGTCTGGGGGTGCTGCAAGCAGCGTGCAAGCTGCGCCAACCCCACAGGCTGCATGCAGCACCTATAGCACCAGTTCCAGCCTGCACATCAGCCTGGCTCCACAAGCTGCATGCAGGATTTGGGGTCAGTCTGAGCCCCATGGGCTGGATCATACAGCTGCAAGGGCTGTATCTGGCTCATAGGCCATATGTTTGACACTGCCAATCTAAATAAGAGGCATCATTGAGGACAAGTTTCACCTTTAAAAAAATAAATCTGTTGATTTTAATAATGCCCGAGTACTTTGGTCTTTCTGGTTTTCTTCGCTATGGGAAGCAAAACATCCCTGACCCTGAAGGTGCCAGAAAGCAAAAACAAAAAAGAAACAAAATGGAAAGGAATCCACCATAACAGCTCAGCAAGAGGCACAAGCAGTGAAAGAACTACTCATTTATCCTGTTCATTTAGTTTTCCTGCCTAAAAATCATTGGAAAACAAAAACTAGATAGCTCTGTTTAAAGCCTTCATTTATGACTTGCTGGAACCAGCACACAAAAAGATGTTTTCACATAAGTTACTCGCATTAAAATGTATGAAGACTTTCCCCCCACCCCCCTCTTGCTTCTGTGCAAGAGCCATGCACAAAAACTCACATTTGGTTTTAAACTATGTGACAGTGCTTCTAAATCAGCTTACAATCAAGAAGGCATACAGAGAAATATCCTTCATATCAACAGCACATCACCATGCTTTAAGACAGTGACACTAATTGGACTAGTGCCACAGTTCAGTGTGCGATGCTTTCCCTACAGGAAAGCCATCCCAGCAGTGTGTTCTAGAGGCATTGCTCAGCTTCACTGGCATACTGACTGAATGCCTAGGTATCTCTTTGCACCACTCATTCGCCAGTCATAAATTCATTATCTTCAACCTCAATTTATAAAAAGTTCACAGAAATTCAGTCTTGTCAAGACTGCATGTTCTGAGCAGGAAAACAACACACTATGTTTTCTGGCATGTACAGCCAGAAATCACATGTCACTCAGCTTGAAAATGAAGGAAACATCACTATTTTTGCTGAGAATAAATGCTATAACTAAAATCTAATAACATGACTGCTTTAGTGTGTCAACCCAACTATTTCCTTCCATATAGCTGAGAAAGTTAAGTGAAAACTCCAAATGTACATATCTCCATTACAATAGATGACACAGTAAATGGTACGTACCTCATCTGTGAAGTCACATGTGCGTACGGGGTTTACCTGATGATCGCCAAACTCCCCTCTTCCTACCCTAGAGGCTATGGTGTTTTTAGGGCAATTTTCTTTTTCTGCCTTTTTTTATTTCTTTTTCATATTGCACTCCTAGCATTCAGCCTCATGTTACTTAATCTACATGAAAATAGGTAGATATAGAAACATAAGACCTATAACATGTTTTGACCATATGCTTATAAACAATATAACCAGCAACTTCTCATAGTAAAAACAAGCTGAAATAAAGAGAAATGTTCATGTAAAAAGACACCATTCTAAGAGATTTGCAAATACCATATTTATTCAAGTGCAAGACGAGAGGTTTTTTTTTAGCTAATCAGCATGGGGAGAAAAGCCCCATCTTGGATTTGAGCACCAGCCATGGGCTGTGATGGGTCATTTGTTGAGGGAGGGGCTTGCAGCCAGGAGAACTTGGGGGGGGGGGACCACAAGGGGGAAGAGACCCATGTGCGCAGCCTGGAGGGAGTGCAGGGGAGACTGTGCAGCCTCCCTCCTCCCCAGCCAACCACCCCCCTTACCTTCTGCTCCTGCTCTGGTCCCTCCAGCTGGGCTGTGGCTGGACCAGGGCCTCTGCTGCTGCCAAGGAGCAGAGCTCAGGAAAAGATAAGGGGGAGGGGGGGCAGCCAAACAATAACAGGGGAAGGCAGAGTTGGGGAGGGACAGGCACAGCTAAGGGAGCAAGGATGTGGGGACAGGCACAAGCACAAGGCTCAAGGGATAGAGGGGCAGTCACAGGGGGAAGGGAGGCAGGGGGCAGGCAGAGGCATGGAAGTTCAGGCGGGGGAGGAGGTGCAACAGGCAAAGCAGACAGGGCACAGACAGACAGGGGGCAAGGGTCTGCCTCTTCCCCCCCGCTACTTTCCCCACCACAGCAGCAGGGGGATGAATTTTAAGATAATCTTCCTCTAATTATATTGTACATATGGAAAATAACACATTTGTTATTTCTGCATGTATACAATCTAATTAGATAGAACCTAATTATTAGGGCGGGGGTCATCTTAAATTTGAAATTACCTTGGATTTGGGTAATTACAGTATTTTCTTACCCAAGATACTAGCATCATCTTGCATTGCAATATACTAAATGCCAAAAGAAAACAATACTGAGTGCCCCCAGCAGTGTCAAAAGCTCTGAAGAAACGCATGCTGAAGCACAGAAATGACTAACAGAAGGCCACAAAGGAGGAAGAGCCATTGTACCTAATCAGATGCCAATCAAGCTCAAATAACCTGGTATAGGAAAGTCTTCATAGACTGGATAATTGTCAAGTACCTGAACTGGTAAGGCAGTATCTATAATAAAGGAATGCTCAGAGAAGCCATAGCATGGGCTGGGTTGCAAGCCAGTCTGGGAGCAGGATAAAATAAAGATAAAGCTTCTTCCTATGAGCTCACTCTTTCAAAGGCTGTGAACAAGAGTGAACTTACTGAAAAGGTTTTGATTGAGGTAGCAGCAGTGTGTGGCACATACTGGTCATGGAAGGAGACCGTAAAACATATTATTACCATAAAACCTAAAAGGAAAAAGCACAATCAGCAGACTTCTGTCTACACACTGGAAGCAGGACACTACAGCTAGAATCCCACTAGTATCCCTATTAGAGCTCCTGAAAGGGATTTTGTTCTCCCAGTCAGGTAGTAAATGCCAGTTTGACTGAGGCTACATATGTAAAACATACAAAGCATTCACATGAGAAACCTTCTTACCTATGAAACATCAGAAAACAAACTTCACATTTGCAATGTGCTCCACCTGCAGCTTTTATTCCAACTCTTAGCGTTCCTGCATAAGGCAATATATCCAAAAAAAAAAATAACACAAAGCCTCTTACCTCTCCCCTTACCCCCGCCCCCACTTCTTCTTTCTACACATGCAAAGTTTTCAAGAAGACACCTAAGAAGTCAACCACTCATTTTTAAGAGTCACACATGTAACTCTATCACTACAAAAGGCTGTATTTCAAGGAAACAGTTCAGTACTAAAACAAAATCAGGCAGGAGTAGGGCAGAGTGGCACATTAGAGACTGACTGGTTCAGAAAGACATGAGGTAGCCTTTGTAAAACAAAAGGCTTTTTGTAAAACAAAACTCCTGTGTAAAACAAAATGAACATCAGTGTATAGGATCAAATGTGTGTACATAGTTGAGCAAGATCTCTATTATATTACTTTAAATTTAACATGAATATGTTGCATACAGAAGAAAAAAATTACCTACCCCCATTTTTCAAGTTATCTTAATTATAGTTAAACAGAGGAACCATGAATAACTGGGTTACTAACACCTCCAGGCCTTTTATCTGCATGAGAAAAATTTAGCAGACTGACAAGAGTAAGCCGCAACTACCTTGCCATGTTATATATTAGAAATGCACATGGAAAGGTACAAATTGTTTCATGTGAAAGGGGTAAAAATACCAAGCACTTAGTGGTAATACCATGTGCTACTTTGAATGAGGGGAAAAAAAACCCAAACAAAACTGCGTCACCTGATTGTTTTCCCAAACATGGGGAAAAAAAAAAGGGCTTAAAATTAAGTCACTGCTGGCATATGGACTGGACCCATCAACCTTTGGGTTTGTAATAAAAAACATCAGAGAAAGCAGGCTAATTGGTTAATGCCTCTTTCGTATTGCATTCCTCCCTTTGTTCCTCAAAAATAGCTTTTAGCCGACTACGAGACCATCATTTTCTGATTCGAGGTTGTGCAAAGCATATGGTTTTACAGCAGTAAGGGGGTGAGGGCTCAGCATCAGGTGAACCTCAACATTTTCAAGCACACAATAAAACACACAATCGTTTTTCTTCAAAATTTTATTTCAATTTAAATTAGGGGGCCAGCCAGATTTTCTGATAAGAAATGTACTTTTCTCCGGAGAAATGAAATGCTTTCATGGAAGCAGAATTACAACTGTATACATCTCTATTAAAAAAACAAAACAAAAACAAAAAACCCCAAAACCAAACCAAACCAAACAAAAAACAACTTCACATTAAATAACTTCTAGTAATATATTGTTAAGCCTTCACGTAGATGAGAAGAAACCACTTCCAGAACAACAGAATCTTTTTAATATGAATAGCATGTCAAATGATCTTTAAATACAACTTCTTGAATGCCAACATTCAAATGTTTTCACATGTTAAAAAAGTTATCTTATCCACTGTTTCTCAGGCCCAACAGAAGAGTGAGAAAACCAATACCCCAATTCATTTTTTCCCCCACTTCTTTACATATATAAATCTTCAGCATTTCTACATTTTTCTAAAGTGGAAGCCTTACATGTTATGGAGAATAACTTGGCAAATAATGTTTTCTTCCATTTAACTACGATAAACCAAAATATAATAGACTGTTAGTACTGAACTATAACACCATCTCATGGCCAATTTGCTTGCCTATAAGTGATTTTAAAAACAGATCTCTCAAATTTTCAGTAAGATTAAGCTGCTTTCCTTTCAGTAGACAAAATGAATGGGTTTGCAAAGGAAAGATTAAGAACCTTAAAACGACCAATTACAGTGCTAAGAGCAATTCTGTATTACTAGAATGAAAATACCCAATTTTCTGGAGCTATTATGACTTTCCTCATGAAGGCTTTAAAATTAACTAAAATGTCTATTAGGAGTTTCACTTTGCTGATTTGAAATATTTCACTTGGCAAGAGGACAAGAAGCAATGAACAACTTTACAGCATTCTCAATCGGATTCAGCCATGCAGAATTTGAACTTTCAAACTCCAATCCATAAACTGGTTACTTGTGATCTTAGCATTACTATAAGATGAATAGATACATTTTAATAGCATTGTTTAGATATTTAGAAGATCTTTTTGTGTGGTCACAGTAACAAAAACCAACATGGTGCAAAATCAGTTGTTTCTTTTTTCTTTTATAAATACTGATAGTTTGCAGCATTAAAGAAGAGAACTTGACAAAATAAAATTATCTTGTTATCACTAGGACATCCAGGAATCCTCTCTCTTGAAGTCAAAGGGAATTAAATTATTTACTTTCACAACTATTGGGCTGAGTTATTTACTATAAGCAAAAAAGAGACACTGTAGTTTTCCCAGAAGAAAGGGGAATTGATGTTAATTTAACATAATCTTTACCATTTGTAGATCTGAACATACTGCTAATTTAAGCGAGTAAGGCCAATATTATCCAGTAAGAATATAGTTTAAAGGGTTCCAGTTCTATATTTTAGCTTACCCTAATTGATGGCACCCTATTAGATAAGTGAATACAAAGATTTCTTTTCCTTTTAATGCTGCAGTACTTAAGATGGTTAAATCAGCATTTCCATGTGATCTGAAATATTCAATTACACATGAGCATTCATTTTGCAAAACTCAATATTAGGTAATAGTTACAGACTAATACAATAACATTCCTCTGCTGTACAAATTAAATCATATTTTTAAAGAAATGAGCAGCCTAGGAGTTATATACAAAAGAAACCAGCAAGCATTGTTGAAATGAAATGTAAAGTGTCACTGCTAGCTCTACTGTCTGAAATACTTTCAAAGTAAAATTAACAAAACCCTTAGAACATTTTTCCAAGTTTATGAGTCAATTCTCAGAAAAATCAAATCATGTCAAAAGTCTAGAAAGCAGTGAAAGGCATATATACAATTTCCTTATGAAACTTGCTATTTCGTTCGTTTAAAAGTTGCGAAGTTTCAGTATCAGTTTGTTTGCAAGATGAGTTTATCCCAGTAAGCTCACATCAGAGATACATTTCCCCTTTGATTACAAATAAAGCACTGCACATTTTTTTTAAATCAAGGCATACAATCTTATACTATGGTGCCAAGTATGCACAGATCACATTGTGCTCATATCTCAAACAAGATAAGTGCAAACATACAGATTTAATCAGATTTGCAAGCATGCAACCTGTTGCTTAACTATATTAATACCTTCTTTTCTAAACCAAACTATTATCTATATGTTTGCTTTCATGAACCTAGAATCTTTTTCTCAGGACTTCTAAAACAAGCAGTGTCTTTGAATTCTGAAATGACACAAATATCAAGAAAGTCCACATTGTGCAAGAAAGCAGCAGCTATGTTTTTCAGCTTGGACTAAAAAAAAAAAAAAAAGGGGAGAGAGAAAAAACAAAAACCGTTCACTGAACAGCAGATTAGCAGTAATGTTCCTCATGAATCGATAAGAGTGCCTGATGCTGAATATCTAACAGCAAATGCAGAATTTGGGTTTAATATTTTAGGGGTTTATCGGAAATTAAGCTTCTTGCTGTGCTGGTCTCTTCAAATCCCTGATCTGTTTAACTAAATACGTCTTCTCATCATTAAATTGTTCATCCTCGGTCCTGTCATTCTGAAACTTGCTGAGGAACTCAATAAGTTTGGTCTGGTTCTTTAGAAGAATATCTAATATAGGCTGTGTCTTGTTAGGATTGGCTACAAACACCTGCAATAAAAGAACAGATTTCAATATGGCTACATGAAACAGAAGACTTCAGCCAAGCCACTAAGTGGACAGTGGTTTAAAATGATAAATGTTTTAATCAATCTATTCAAATATCTGTATAATATGCAAAAAAACAACAGAACATTTAGGAAAAGTAATTTAAAATAACGTTATATTTTATAAACTTAGAAACTAAAGGCCCAATAAGAACAAACTCATTATGACAGCCAGTAGCAAGAACTCAGGAACTGCAGAACTAAGTTGTGCAAAAACAGTACATTATTATTTACACCATTTTAACACCATTTCTGGAACCTCTTCTCTCCATATACACATATAAGGAGCCTCCTTCCTTGCTTCCCTTAGTATTTAATTTATATCCCTCTTATTATTTATCAAGGGAAGGGGCACCAGAAATGGTATAAGATTTGTGCAGTGTTATTTTTGTGCAGTGTTATTTTTGCCTGGAACCAAATTCCCAGCCTCTTAGTAATCATTTGTTTAGTCTATTAAACCAAACGGGAACTTGCTTTTATTTTACCTCATCTGCAAGATAAAGATTTTTCAAAATTGATTAGTTTGCTTTAAATTCTCTAATCTAAAACATCCCCCTCCAGTGTTATCTGGGATTAAGCAAGACAAAAGTGTCCATTTAAATTCTGATATCATGCACTCTTCTTTTCCCTATTGCTTTCCAAGAGGTGTGTTACACAGAAAATAACTACAAAAAGCATAAGCATTTTCTGAATTAGAAACTTTAAAAAAAAATATAGAATGACACAAGTTACTTCCAAAGCCACGCTAAAGTTTGTCCTTTGAGACTGCCCTTATTACCTGTTTAACTGAGGTTCATTTGGGGATGGCTTTTTGATACTATACCTTGAAGACGTGAAAGGCCTCAAACTGAATATTACGACTCTTGTCTCGTAGAAGGTTCATCATTAGTTTGAGATTTTCAGGTTTACTGATGTATTTTGTCATAATTGTGAAGTTATGTCTGTCCAACAGCAATTCACCAAGCAGCTAAAGGTGGAAAGTGTGACAGAACAATGAAGTATTATTAACATCAGATAAGGTAAAATAATTTTTCACGAGGGCCACAAAGCATAATTGACAACAGTCTGGTAAAGGGGTAAAACAAGCAGATGGTCTCCCAACTCCAAGTCCAGTTAGCTTTTTCCTACAGTAAAGACGTCTGATGTGATGGTTGCTTTTCCCTTAGTATTACTGAAATTACTGCCTGCCTCTCCCCCCATACCAAGTACTGCTGAGAAATGCAAGAGTCATTTTATGTTTATTTTCCATTAAACAAAAAGTTTAAGTTGATAAGAATGCAGTGAAAATGAATTTCTACTTCAAGAAATGTTTATGCCAACATGATTTTTGAAGTTGCTGAGTAGGTTTTTTGTGCAAAAAGGATTCAAAATTGGTTAAGATACTACTCCCGGAATTGTAACTCTTCTATAGTTAGCACCTTCTACCTCCAAAAAAGAAATGTTGGCAGTGAACAAAAACCGCTAAATAACATTACAGATCCCTACAAGAGTACTTAGCCCTTTTCTTAATTGGGTTTCTGTTTTGTTGTTTTAATGTTAGCCACTGTTTTTGCTTTAAAGTGTTAAAGGTCCAGGCAAAGGCAAATCCTGGTTGTCAACCTTCACTACAGCTCCTCTATCATCCCTATGATCTATACTTCTGAGTATTGCAAACAAAATGGTATGTTTTCAAAGACTGTATCAAAGCCCTAAGCATCTTTGCCTCAAATTTACAAATTAGGTAAAAGAACCTGAGAGGCTTTAGAATCAACTTCACCAGAACCGGTAACAAAAAGCAGTCTTTAATGTAATAGATGAAGTAATCCACTTCGCCATACTATGAAAGCTAGGTAAAATGTCTCTTATCTGCGATGTCTGTGAAAATGTGATTATCCTCAAATTTCCAACTCTGTTACAAAGTACCAAAACGCATTGAAAAATCTAATTATACAGTCACACAATTATACATGCAATTTCAAAACATTACATTTGCTTTTAAAAGAAAAAAATTACACTTTAACCTACCCAAAATAAACATAATGACGGTTTCTATATAGTTATCTAATCACAGAATAGTAGAGTTTGGAGGGACTTCAGGAGAACATCTAATCCAAACCCTGACAAGCCAGAATCATCCCTGACTAAACCATCCTAGTCAAGTACCTACCTTATCTGCTTTTTAAAATGTCTTAGGTTGGAGATTTCCACAACCTCCCTGGGTAGCTTGGCTCCAAGGCTTAACCATCCTCACAGTAAGAAAAATTCTTCCTAATATGCAACCTAAACCTCCCTTGCTACAATTTAAGACCATTGCTTTGTCCTATCTCTTGCATCTACAGTTATTATTAGTCTAGAGGTATCCAAGAGAAGTCATTACCCTATGTACAAGCATATGTATGATTTAAGGGGAAAAGACACTTGCAAGAGCAGATCTAGGATTCTGAAAACGGGGTGAAGCAGAAAGCTTGCTGGCATGGGGCAGGAAGGGAGGAGGGTCAACGCATGACTTGCAATGTAGACTGGCAGCCAAAACCAAAGCTCTGTGGCAGAGAGCTTACCGAACAAGCGCTACAGAGTTGAAAGGGGTAAACATACCACTGTAAGTCCCCTGGAACTGCCCTGGGGTATTTATCTTCTAATCTATTTAAATTCAATATATAGTTTAAAAAATAAAAGGAAATTCTGTAAGATAAAATAGTTAAGGTTGCTTAAACAAAAACATGCAGCCACTCAAAGACTTAGAAGCTAAGATGGATATCCAGTGAGCATTTCTATCTTTAATATACCAACCCCACACATGCTACATTCAACCCTCACCATGTCCCATTCAACTATATACTATGTACTGTAACATAGGACATACTGATTCCTCACAACCGTAGTGTAGCACAAAACCTTAACTCTTAGCTCATACTTTTTAAAGGAAAATTAACACAACATACAGCTTGTTGGTGCATGGATGTTTAGCAGATACATAGGATGAAGCTGCCATGGTAAGAGATTACAGACATACATGTGCCCTGAACTTTGTGCAAAGCAGCTTAAAAATAGCAGAATGCAAGATTGATATATACCGTTAAAATGGCCATTGTTTATCACAATGTAAGCACTCTAGTGTGGTTGTACTACTTGATATTATATAAACATTCCCCTAATGATATTTATATCACTAAAAGTATTGTGAGGACCAAACCTAACTCATTCCTTAGATAACTCTGTTCATAAGCCTGAGTGTATGCTTTCTAAGGAATGGATGGCTGTGGCATTTGCACAATGCCTATGGGGTGTCTCATCCTTTGGGGAAAAGGGTTTCTTGCAAATTACTGAAAAATAATAAAAAATGATCATTTAGTCTTAAAAGAAATCAAGGAAATAAGACTCCCTTACATATGCAAACTGGAAATGTTTATGAGTTGGCATTTGTTCAATAATGGACATCAGCAAGTATCTTCTGTTATAAGGCCGTCAATCAAGAAACATCATTGAACCCAGGGGTTGTCGCATACCCCTAAGGGTGCTTGAGATGACCCTAGAGGGTACAGGCAGGCGGGGATGGAGTGGTGCCATGCACCATGCTGCACAGGCACTGCCCAGCCAGCTGGAAGAGGGGGTGGGGGAAGGTTGCACGCAGCGGCTGCTGATGCTCCACGTTCAGCCATGCGCCACCTCCCCAACTGCACATCCAGCTGTCAGAGTTACACTTCTCCGCATCCGGCCACCGGGGGGTACACTGACCCAAAAAGGTTGAAAACCTCTGATCTAACCAGATACAACCAAGAATTAGGAGATTACCTGCCTCACTATCATGGGAAAAAAACCTCTAATGACACCTGGAAAAAGGGGGGTCTCGTGCTGCTGTCCCTACCTCTCTGGCTCCCCTTTATGGCTTTTCCAAGCAATCCCACCCCTTCCACCACAACACTTCATGGAAGATGGGCTTGTGCTGTAAAAGACGGGCTCTTGGTGTGTTCCCAAGGTGTCTGAGCCCAATCTGACTGCACACTGATGAAAATATGCTTGCTTGTAAATTCACAATGAAGATTAAAAGAAACGAAAATTAAAATTTGTTTTTTTTTTACTATTGTTTTAAACTGCGATTAAAATCAGTTATTTAGCCTACAAGAACTTAAATCAGTCCACCCTGGCATTAGAGGGACCCTTAGAAAACTTTCAATAACTTCAATAAATAACTTCAAAAAACTTCAGTAAATAATTAATTCTACCTTACCTTAAGTGACTGTCTTTTTGTCACATAATTTTCTGAATGAAGTAACTTCTCGTACTCACTGAAGAACTGAATGGAGAATGAAGAGAAAAATCAGGACCTTTCCAAGTGTCACAAGCACTCTGCTTCCAAATTATTTTAATAAGCTGGGGGGGGGGGGGGGGGGCCCCAAAAAAAAAAAAAAAAAAAGACTCCTCACAAAAAACACACACCTTCCTTTAAAAATTTTTTTAAAAGGGGGGGGGGGGGGGGGGGGATCCGTAACAGAAATGTAAATAAAAACTTAGAAATCTGAGAAAAAACGTTTCAGTATTAAGTCATTACTGTTAAAAATCCTTTTTAGAAGTTTTTTTTTCCCTTTCTTTTTACACACTTAAATATCTTTGCTCTTTTGGGAATTTTGCTTATGCAAAACTTCACAGATTATTAAATGCTCTAACCTCATATTAATTTCAGAACTGGCCAGCAGGTGGAGCAAAGTTACCAACTATTCCTTTGTAACTAAAGGCCTCCTTGAGAATGGAAAAAAAATTAGGAAAGGATTCCCTCTAGTGGAACGTTTATAAACTATCACCGTGTCTCAGTCTCATTTTAAAGTGTTTTAGGTTGAAAGGCTGGAGTTTTAAAGTGAATTCCTGTTTTAAACACTGTAAAACAAACCAGCATAAACAAAATTTGATTTACGTTGTACATAAGCTAACATGGGTCATTCATAAGAATTAACTTAATAAATGAAACATTAACTTTTTCCTCTCAAGTGAAAGTTACGTATCAAACATGAAAACATTCTAAGCTAACCTCTGAATTAATTTAATTTTGAATTAAAGTCTGAAATAACTTATCTTTACTCACCCTATCATAATGCTGTTCCAAAAATTCTGCACTCAGCAATTTGTGTCTTGTAAGTAAATCCTGAAAAAGTACATATTTAAACAATATTTTTATTTTTTAAAAGCCACTTTAAACATAAATGAACAATTCCAGGTGACTCTAAGAAGTCTGCATTAATTCAATTAGGGATCTTGATATATTGTTAAACGCAAAATGGAAGCTAGAAATTGCAGATTCTTGACTATAGATGAGGAACACATAGCACAATTTAGGAAATGATCTGTTATGTATAGTGCAGTCCTCACAGATATATTTGAACAGCTTGACAGGTTAGTGCCTAGGGACCCCAATCATGAGCAAGAAACTACATGCATGTCTCCAGGAGAGAATACAGTGTAGGGAAAACTACTAAGTAAACATTATATGTTGATCCTTTTGCTGCTTTAGGTCATCTGCTTTAGGTTACAGCCAGCTGAAGTTTCTATCAACACAAAGTTACATCCCTAATGTAATAAATTAAGTTCAATTATTTAAGCCACCTTAACATAGAACAAAATCAAGTAATCGGCACAAGAAACTGCATGCTTATAGCAGAAATGTATACATATCATATAGCTTTAGTTCTAGGATTAAAACTGTTACCCTGATAGTAGAACATTTGCTAAGAAACAGGAAAGCAGAAGGGTGCTAACTGACCACATGCTTTACAAAATTTGGTTTTCAGTCCTTATATGCATATTCCATGTATGACTAACCTAATATCTGGGGTAACATATTGAAAATATTGGAAAAATATGTAATTTTAACTTGGTATGCAAGTTACCTTGAAAGTGGCAAATGCATCTGATGCAATGTCAAAAGTTGACATTTCCACATATCTGAAGAAATCATAGAACTGTTCTGACCACAAGATTATTTTGGCAAGTGGTTCATGTCTGATGCATTCTCTTAACATTATTCCACAATTTAGAGCAATTTCTGGAGATTCGTACCTAAAAAATGAAAACCAAATAAATACCTTAAAGAATAATACTAGAGCACTGCAACTTAATATTAGATTAATAATATAGTTTGTTATAGGCAATTTAAACATAGCAATTAGGAGGCGCGCGCGCGCGCACACACACACACACACACACACTTTAAACTCCACTTTCAGATGGCGTTTTAATAGGCAAAATTCAGCCAGATGATTGATTGATGAATCACTTAAAATGGGAAGCCACAAGAAATATGAATGTGTATTTAGACTATGGCCTCCCACTCAAAACAAAACTTGACTTAAATACTAAGCTTCTCTTACTGTACAAATTTAACTATCCCTGTCAAGGGATGCTCTGGATAGGGAGGAATAACAGAATTTCATGTACTGATACCATCCACACAGACCTGAGATGTTTGCCCTTTGTGAGCATTATTTACAATTCACAACCCCAAGCATACTGCCAGACTTGCTAATTTTACATTCAATATTGACTTCTTAGGTGAACAGAAGAGCATTTCATGTGGTCAAAAGAATCCGTGTTTGAATTACAAATATAAATTTCTCAAAACATAGCAGTCAAGTCGCTTGCAATTTAGGGATATCTTGCAGCTCCATATATTACCCTATATTGCTACTTCTGTGCCATAGCTAGAAGCTGGGGGCAAAGGCAGAGGGAGAAGTGCCAGCCACATGGATGTAGCTTCCAGCTTCCCAGCCTTAGTGCAGCTCCCCATTGTGCAGAAGTTGTGTTTATGCCACAGCTCAGGGGAAGCAAAAAGGCGGCACTGGCAGTGGTGCAGCTAGAAGATGTCCAGTCCTGGCACAGATCCTCACTGTTTAACTCGGATGCAGTCTGCGGGGCTGTACACTGCCAACCCCCGATACAGAACACTTATTTTTTGAAACTAAGTTTTTCTGCTTTGGATTGTCTTTTTTATGCCAAACATTTTGAGAAAGTTCTTTAAAGAGTTTGTTAATGCCATTTTTACATTAAAATTATGCTATAATACCATTTCCATTTTCTACCATTTAAGTCTTGGTTCTTTTCAAAACAAGGGGTATAACATAAGAAAAAACTGAAAGTACCCTGTGGTACATTATATTTCTTTAAACTTGCAAGGATATACATGATGTTCTTCCCTACTGTTGGGACATTATGTCCAAACTCCTGGTCTAATGTAGAACAAAATATTAGCATGTTTTATATTCTACAAGCTCCTAAGAATGGCATAAGCAAAGAGAATGAAAAGACGACATTATATGAACGCCATGAAGCTTAGGTCTATTAGATTTCACAAATTCTCCAATGGTCAATGTATAATGAGGGAGGGATAAGTGAAGAGGAAAAAACACCCCAGATCTTTAAACATCCAAAAAAGAAATATTATCCTTACATTTCAAAGCTATCAATACACGTGGCCAATACCTGTCTGAAGGGCAGTGAAACTATTTAATTTACACCTTTTTTTTTTTTAAGACTCTCATTCCATGCCAGGTGCAATACACAAATACACTGTAATATATGAAAGCTTCCTTGAAAAATACTCACTAGTATAAACTTTAAAACTACTGCTACCAATCTGATGTTTGAAATGTCAATGTTTAAAAAATGTTTACTTTGTAC